TAAGGTCTCCCCGGAGCCTTCTCTTCTCCAGGCTGAACAACCCCAGCTCTCTCAGCCTGTCCTCATAGGGGAGGTGCTCCAGCCCTCTGATCATGGCCATCCACTGGACCCATTCCAACAGGTCCATGTCCTTCCTGTGTTGAGGACTCCAAAGCTGGACACAGTATTCCAGGTGGGGTCTCACAAGTGCAGAGCAGAGGGGCAGAATCACCTCCCTGTGACCTGCTGGCCACGCTTCTCTTGATGCAGCCCAGGATGGGGTTGGCTTTCTGGGCTGCCAGTGCATGTTGCCGGCTCATGTTGAGCTTCTCATCCACGAGCACTCCCAAGTCCTTCTCAGGGCTGCTCTCCAGCCATTCTCTGCCCAACCTCTATTTGTGCCTGGGATTGTCACAGGGTCCCAGGTGCAGGACCCTGCACTTGGCTTGGTTGAGCTTCATGAGGTTTGCACAGGCCCACCTCTCCAGCCTGTCCAGGTCACTCTGGATGGCATCCCTTCCCTCCAGCGTGTCGACTGTGCCACCAAGCTTGGTGTCCTCAGCAAACTCGCTGAAGGTGCACTCTATCCCACTGTCCATGTCTCCAACAATGAGATTTCATCCCATGTTGGTTGTTCTCTGCGTGATGAGAGTCATGTTTGGGTTGGTGTGTGTTTTTTTTTTTCCCCTCTGCAGAGCCGTGTCAGATTGAAGTGCGGTTGCTGCTGGCCTACAATTCCAACAGGAGCAAAGCAGCTGCTAAAATTCCTAAGTCCAGCTGGAATGAGAGCTTGGAGGCTTTCCCACAGGCCGAAAACGGCATCGAGGGGACCATACCCTTCAGCAAACCCGTCAAAGTTTATATCATGCCCAAACCCGCCCGGCGGTGAGGGCGAAAAGAAATAGATCTCTGAGTTCGTTGGGTTACGTGGAAACAACCTTCCAAGATGCTGAACCAAACCAAAAAAAGTCAGCCATGGAAATAAAGCTGCTGAAGAACTTCTGCTCTCCTCTGTTAAGAAGCAGCCACACCAACATGGGAGTTAATTCAGCTAATTAAGAACAGTTTGAAGCAAATGTAGGTGTTTCGATATCGAATTGACACAATTGAGGCAGTTCTCAGCCACCGTTCCGGGAGCGTTTCATCGGGTCGTGTCTTCACTTTTTCACTTATCAAAGGTTTTCTCTTCGAGGCCTCTAGGTTTTCTGCTACGTATTTACGAAGGTGTTTACTGTGTAAATGCTTAGGCACATAAATCAATGTTATTTTTGCAGTAATCTGAAATGAAGATAAGGAATTCGGGGTTTTTGTCTGTTTTGTTTTTTTTTTTAATGTGTCAAACTTGTGCATTGGTACCTAAATTCTTAGTAAAAAAATGAAAATATTAAAATATTTGAAAGTGTTATTGTTCTTGTGCAGGAACTGCATCGCGATGTGAAATTATCAACTGCTGAAGGCTCCATCCTGAGCTGTTTTACACCCTGTAGAGCTGTACTGAAGGTGGTGCAGTTTTTGGGGGGGCACAGGTTGTTGATGTTGTGGTGCAGAGAAAGGAGGAACCTGTTGGGTTGAGCAGCTGAACTCCCCAATTAGCGGGATGTGGAGTTTAATTGAGTTACAGCAATAAAACGATGTGTTACTTGGTTTGTTTACATAAAAGGGAGTCAAACGAATTAATCTCTGAATTGCAATCCCAGGCTCTTGCACGTTTGTGTGACTTTAGGAAAAAATGGGGTTAAATGCCACGGGTTGCAAATTTAGTAACCTCATCCCAGGAAGTTCAACAGGACCTTTCATGGAATTGTCAGAGTTGGAAGGGACCTTCTAGAGATCACCCATTCCAACTCTCCTGCCAAAGCAGGGTTGCCCAGAGCACATCACTCAGGACGGCATCCAGGAGAGTCCTGAAGATCTCCAAAGAAGGGGACTCGACACCCTCCCTGGGCAGCCTGTTCCAGGGCTCTGTCACCCTCACCCCAAAGAGGTTCTTCCTCATATTTGAGTGGAACTTCCCATGTTCCAGCTTGTGCCCGTTGCCCTTGTCCTGTCACTGGGAACCACTGAAAAGAGTCTGGCTCCATCCTCCTTCAACCCACCCTTGAGACACTTGTCAGCATTAATGAGGTCTCCCCTCAGCCTTCTCTTCTCCAGGCTAAAGAGCCCCAGCTCTCTCAGCCTTTCCTCATCAGGGAGACACTCCAATCCCTCCATCATCTTTGTAGCCCTACGCTGGACTCTTTCCAGTAGTTCCCTGTCCCTCTTGAACTGGGGAGCCCAGAACTGGACACACTATTCCAGTTGTGGCCTCACCAGTGCAGAGCAGAGAGGGAGAATGACCTCCCTCAACCTACTGGCCACACTCTTCCCTGTGCAGCCCAGGATTCCATTGGCCTCTTGGCCACCAGGGCACATTGCTGGCCCATGGATAGTTTACTATCCCCCAGGACCCCCAGATCCTTCTCCTCAGCAGTGCTTCCCAGCAGGTCCACCCCTGGACTGTACTGGTTTCCAGGTGGTGATCCTGGCCTGACCCGATTTCACTGTGATGAGAAAAATCTGTGCACTTTCTCAATTCAGCAGCAGTTTTGGCAGCCAAAGCCTTCCTGAAGTAGCCATTGAGGAACCTCCTGTGACTTGTCACAATCCTCCAGTAGGATTTTCTAGGAAATGTGTGAAACTCGCTGCGAAATGTTACTTGTGTTCATAAATCATAAATCAATTGTTGAAGAAAAAAGGGTGTATCTTTTAGCAAGTAAACCAAGCAGTGAAGAAATCCTTTCCAGTTGTACAGAGATTAGTGTAAATAATAACCCTTTATGTGTTTTCCTACAATAAAATCAGAAAACTCTGGCTAATCTGTTCCCTCTTTTAGGAGTGACCCTTCACGCCTGCGTTGAGATGATAGTGCAGGTTTTTTGTGATTTTAATTATTTAGCACTGACATGTTGAGGTCCAAAGACTCACAACCATAAGACTATTCAAGCTGCTTCAGGTGTTCTTGAGTTAAGTCTCTCCTTTCTGAGCGCTGCTGCTCTTCCAAACTGGTTTTGGGGATTTTACCTTTGACAGCCTCCTGCAGGTGTAACAGCCGAGTTCCTACCCCCTCATTTCTCGTTGGTGTCCTCAGTGTGGACAGGCCTTGATGTATTGAATTGTAGAATGGTCAAGGTTGGAAAGGACCTTTGAGATCATTGAGTCCAACCATCAACCCAACACTGCCCAAACCACCACTAACCCATGTCCCTCAGCACGGCTGCCCAGCTTTTAAATACCTCCAGGGATGGTGGCTCCACCACTGCCCTGGGCAGCCTCTTCCAAGGCTTGACAACCCTTTCAGTGAAGAAATTTTTCCTAATATCCATCCTAAACCTCCCCTGGGGCAACTTGAGGGCATTTCCTCTTGTCACATCACCTGTTCCTTGGGAGAAGAGACAGACCACCCCTCGCTACAACCTCCAAATCTCTTCTTATGAAGCTGTGTCCAGGCAGATCCTTGATGAGTTGATCCTTGAACCCCTCCAGGGATGGGGCAGCCACAGCTTCTCTGGGCAACCTGTTCCAGTGTCTCACCACCCTCACAGCAAAGAATTTCTTCCTGAGATCTCATCTAAATCTCCCCTCTTCCAGTTTAAAACCGTTACCCCTTGTCCTGTTGCTACATGCCCTGGTAGAACATCCATTATAAATACGTTATGTTTTAACAGGTCTATCTCTTGCTGCCATTCTCTGCCCTTTCCCTTCTTACTGAACATGTATTTCCTTCTGTTTTGTTACTTTTTGGTTGTGTTTGTGTTGTTTTGGTTTTTTTAAACTGCTTACAGAATCACAGAATGATATGGGGTTGGAAGGGACCTCTGGAGATCATCTAGTCCAACCCCCTGCCAGAGCACGTCCACCCAGAGCAGGTTGCACAGGAACATGTCCAGGTGGGGTTTGAATGTCTCCAGAGAAGGAGACTCCACCACCTCTCTGGGCAGCCTCTTCCAGGGCTCTGCCACCCTCAAAGTGAAGAAGTTCTTCCTCCTTACCCTGCTCTCCAATCTATTTCAGCTTCATTTATCTTTAAAATGCATTTTCACACCATGTGCCACCACAGGAGAAATCTGAAAGGAACTGTGTATACAAGGTAAGTATTCTGAGAATATATTGCAGTTGTTTAAATCTAGATATTGACCTTTTTCCTCAAACTCCCAGGTTTGAGACATTTGGGTTCTTCTGCTCGTAAAAATATTGGGCTGTCTGTGGAGCTCCAGGACTTTGGGACATCTCAGAAGAACTGTACTCCTGCCCAAAGAGAATTTGCACCTTTCAGCTCTGGTGAAGAGGGAAAGAAGGACTTTAGATCACAATCACCCCAGCACAGGGAGGTTCTGTCCTCTCCGGTGTCGGCGTAGGAACACGGACAGAGCTGCAGCCACAGGGGAAGGACTTTAGATCACAAACACCCCGGTACGGGGAGGTTCTGTCCTCTCCGGTGTCGGTGTAGGAACACGGACAGAGCTGCAGCCACAGGGAGATTGAGCAATCCAGAAACAAGGGCAAATAATTTGCTAAAACCCAACAATGTTCAAACATCCCTCACCTCCAGATTTTTACCTCCTGGTTAGACATAAGGGAAGAGGGTCAAGAATCCAGCAGAGAAAAGAAAAGGCTGAACTCACACTAAAGGGATGTATTTTAGTGGTTTGAAAAATGTGTTGTCGTGTTTAGCCTTTTTTTTTTTTTCCCAGCCTTAATTATACACGGCATCTGCGTGGGGGGGGAGCCCAGCTCGGAGAGCTTATAATGGGAAATTCATAATCCCAAAGTCCAATGACATTCATTTGGCCAATTCTTAGAACTTTGCAAGTAAATAACGCAATTGTCAAGTCAAGAAAGCTCAAAACAAAGCCTAAAATGTATTTGGAACGACACTGAAGATTATGAGCCGTTAACTGGAGTCTGGTGTGGCTTTCGTGTATCTTAATTTTTAAAAGCACAGGAAAAAACTTAAGTGGGCAGGGACTGTCTCTGCAAAAAGTACAAAGCAAATTCTTGGGAAGACAAAAAAAAAATAAAAAATCAGGACCATATGACATCATTTTGGGAGACAGGTTTCCTCTGGATTCCTGCCTCATTTTTCCGAGTTCTCAAATCTTTTGATGGATGAAAATAGCCATTGTATCTCTATTTCACTCCCATCTTCCAGTTTATTCTTAGCAGCAGGCACCGGGTGAGAGGGGCCATCGTTTTGGTTTACAATTTGTTAACGAGATACGAGCGGGGCTTGGAAATAAAAGTTTGATGGCTCGGAGGGGCCAGGTTTTTGGACAAACGGTGCCTGATGGCCCCAGGAAACGCTGGCTGGAGCTTTTTTGGGGCCTGTTTCTCCCGGCTGCCAGCTCCAGGGTGCTGCTTCCCAAAGATAAGGGAGGGAGGGAGCGGGGGCCGGGCGGGCGGCGGAGCAGCCGGGTGGAATCTTCCTGGCAGCCGGCCCGACCGCGGCTCCGCTTTAATGCCAGCGGCGGGGTGGGAGTTCAGCGCCGCCAGGGAGCTGCTTTTCCTGGTGGGAGGCAAAAAAAGGGGTGTCTGGGAGAAATCCTGCCCCCCCTTAAAACTCACTCTTGTGATTCGGGAGACAAACGCGTCATTTTAAGAAAATTATTTACGGCGCGAAGCTGAAAGAAGAGACTTAATGAAGATACCGTTTCGAGCTCCGGGTGAATTTTCGGCTGAATCAGTCCCAGCTGTTTCCAGCAAAGCAATTTCAAGCAGCAAGAAGGAAACTGGGATTTCAGGGACTGGAGCAGCCCAAGTGGAACAGCAGCTTTTGTGGGAACCGGCAAAAGGCGACTCGGGAAGCCGTGACGAGGGCAGCGAGAGAGGATCCGGATGGAAAAGCCTTCCAGCTCGTTATCTCCTTGCTGACACCAAAATTTTAGACTGCTGGCAGTGAAACTTTGCAGTTTACTGTTAAAAAAGGGAAATCCTTTCTCTTTTTTTTTTTTTTTTTTCTCACACGCTGCAGCTCCCCGTTTGAGACTTGGAAGCTTCTGTATCCTCCGGGCTGCCAAATGAAAGGAACAATTAAGAGGCTGCAGCACAAAAGCCGGGGGAGGACGCACCTCTGGAAGTCACCTGGGAACACAAAACGGGCCGTGCTGCTCCTCCGGTGCCATCCGGGTGGAGAAAAACCAGAGAAACAGAGTATTTTCCCCAAATGCAGGACCTGGGCCGAGCAGTTTTGCTGAACGTGGCTTCGTCACTATATACCACATGAATGTGAAGTATTTAAAAACAAAAAAAAAAAAAAAGGGAAAAATCTGGAGGTGAAAGATAAGGTGTTTGCTCAACTTGTAACAGCATAACGCGCTGCAGCACTTTAAAAAGTGGAATTTTGCTCTCAGTAAAAGCCTTGTAGAGGCTTTTCCTACTGCATTAAGGCCCAAAAGCTCATGAAATAACACAAATATATGACTGTGATCATATATCAAACCACCTCTGCTATAACAACACTTCAACGGAAGAAATCTTCCCGCTCTGGTGAAAGATAAGGTGTTTGCTCAACTTGTAACAGCATAACGCGCTGCAGCACTTTAAAAAGTGGAATTTTGCTCTCAGTAAAAGCCTTGTAGAGGCTTTTCCTACTGCATTAAGGCCCAAAAGCTCATGAAATAACACAAATATATGACTGTGATCATATATCAAACCACCTCTGCTATAACAACACTTCAACGGAAGAAATCTTCCCGCTCTGCAGATTGATAGGAACTGGTTCTACTGGCATTCTCTTGAGATGACAAGAGTCTTCCTGGTCAGGGATTCATGCTCTGCTTCACACCATGGAAGTTCTCCAGAACAATGTCATCACAGAATCACAGAATGATATACAATTGGAAGGGACCTCTGGAGATCATCTAGGCCAACCCCCTGCCAGAGCAGGTCCACGTAGAGCAGGTTGCACAGGAACTTATCCATGTTATCTTTGAATGTCTCCAGAGAAGGAGACTCCACCACCTCTCTGGGCAGCCTCTTCCAGGGCTCTGCCACCCTCAAAGTAAAGATCCTGTCCCTGGGCACCACTGTAAAAAGACTGGCCCCATCCTCCTGACACCCACCCTTCAAGGATTTATAGGTGTTGATCAGATCCCCCCCTCAGCCTTCTCTTCTCCAGACTAAAAAGACCCAAGTCCCTCAGCCTTTCTTCATCAGAGAGATGCTCCAGGCCCCTCATCATCTTTGTAGCCTCTGCTGTCCCCTCTCCAGCAGTTCCCTGTCCTTCTGGACCTGGGGAACCCAGAACTGAACCCAGTGCTCCAGCTGAGGCTTCACCAGGGCAGAGTAGAGCGTTAGGATGACCTCCCTCGACCTGCTGGCCACGCTCTTCCTGATGCATTGGCCTTCTTGGCATTGACCTGCTGGCCACGCTCTTCCTGATGCATTGGCCTTCTTGGCCCACAAGGGCACATTGGTGGCTCATGGTCATCCTACGTGTCACAGCAGTGCTGAGGAGCATGACACCAGCTGCTGTGTCCAAAACCACAGATGCATCTGGAAAGGCAGTTCTTGCTGGTTCAGAGAAGATGTCACCTCAAAGAGAGCTACACTAAAGAGAAAATACCGCCGCAATTAGGAGATTGCAAGATAAAACTTCCAAGTATTCATTTTCCCTTCGCTTTTACACCACATTGTATTTTATCAGATGAAAGGTTTTAAACGATTACCGGAGGAAATAAACAGAAAAAGCAGGTAGGATTTTGTGGAGGGTTATTCTTGGGCAAGTCGGTGTGTTCTCATGGCAATCTAAGCCTCTCTGCTGCTGCTCGCAGCTCCGAGCGCCTCAGGGCTCTCAGCAGTGACATCTTTGGGCTTTCATTAATAGACACAGACTTAATATGCACAGACTAAGAATTAGTAAATCTGGTGGGGAAAAAAAAAATTAAAAACCTACAGTAGGTAAGTTGTAACTAGTAATATTAATAGAAACCCGTGAAGGACAGCAACTAAGAGAAAGTGGTTAAATTCTCAGTAAAATAATTTGCTCGTTGGCATCAATGTTTAAACCATCAGATAACGATGACCAGTAAGAGTTTTCACACCCCCGGCTCGTTAGCAGCAATTTAGGCTGATTTCCCAAAGATCAACATTTGATGTTGCAAGCTCTAATTTTATAATAAATCTTTCTGAAGATTTCAAGCACGTAAGGACTTTTGAATAGATATATATATTCCACAACTCAATCCTCACAATTCCCAATTAATACCAAAATTATTTAAGGCCCAGCTGTTACGTTTAATCCCTGTAGACTTTTTTTTTTCCTTTTTCCAGGTTCAATGACAAATTTAAAAGTGTGAAATGATGTGATCTTGAACCATCACAAACAGATCTGCATAGACAACATTCGGACTGAAGTCGCCAGCCGGAGGTAAAGTTTTACGTTCTGGGGTCGTTTTTAAATTTATTTTATTTTTAACTTATTTATACAGTGCTGCTAAAGTGCTGCTTTGCCACCACTTTATATTTACCACGCGATTGTGCTCATCAGGTATTTTACGGCTGCATTCCAATAGCCAATGATGTAATTTCCAGCCATTTCACAGAATCACAGAATCTTCTAGGTTGGAAGGGACCTTAAAGATCACGTTGTCCAGCCGTCAACCTAACTGACAAAAACAGACACCCACACAACAAACAAGAAGCATCACCATCACTAAACCATACCTCCCAGCACTACATCAACCCGTCTTTTGAACACCTCCAGGGATGGTGCCTCAACCACCTTTTATTTCCTAATAAAAGCATTCAAAACCTTGTATCTCCATTTAGCCAACAGGTGAAAAGTTAAGTATAAAGAATACGGACAGTCTTTAGAGAAAGATCAGGTCAATCTCAAGAACGCATGGAAATGGTTCTGTAATTAAAAAGATTTCATTAAACGAGCACTGTGTTTGTTTAAAGCCTGAACTAATAAACTGTCCTTGCATTTTAGATGATTGTCAGTGCTCAAACGCCTTGGCACACAAGTCCACACTCTGTTGGCTGTAATTTGACTCAGAGGAGAGGTGTGTCCGTGATTTGGCTGTGGCTGAGGAAGGCGGAACAAGCCGGAACGAGCCCCCAAGGCTTCAGCAGGTGGAATGGAAGACTCCCCCCACTTTGACACCCCCAGCAGCCAGGGCATTGTACTCTGCCACAGCCTTCTCCGTCTGCAAAACCACCACATCAATCCCCTTTTTCTTCAGATACTCCACAGTCGCCGGTGGAACCTCAGAAGAGAAAAGGAAATGAAAAGAGCAAGTATTAGATTTTTTTTTTTTCCTCCCCGCACTGTAAAGCTTGAAGAAAACAGGTCCTGATGACATTTGTCAATAGATGTACTTAATTAATTGATAGCAGCCAAACTGATAATGTGCTCAGATATTTCTAAGATTTATATAAATTTTTTTCACTTAAATAAAGCAACTTGTACATACACACCTCCCATTTCTCCTTAACCCGGATTAAAATGCAGCCCTTTCTTAAAAAATAAATAGAACTGGAGCTAAAGGTAATTAATCTAAATAAAGCATTACTCACCTCACCAAAAAGCTTAAGAATTGTTTCTCATGAAGTAAAGCTCAGCCCTTCTGACCTTTCTGTAGCTTGTTTATCTACTGAAATGACACCCTACCAACATTAGGAACAAAAATGCCTAATTATCCAAGTATTTCCAGCAGGCCAGAGAGCTAGTTCATCACCTATTCCAAAAGGGGGGACTAATGACACTGTAAAAAAATTCTCCTTGTTTAAATTTAATTGCAGAACTTAAACCTGTTTATTGCTTGACATTGACACTAACACAGAGGAGCTCAAATGATGGTTCTTTCAGGAAGAGAGGGACTCCTGGCAGGAGCTCAGTCCTGCTAATTCAGCATCCTGAATGTTTTTACTCCCTCTTATAGATTTATTATTCCCCACCATCCCCCCAAATGGAGGGAGAGGGAAAACAAACAGTTGTAGTTTATGTTCATCATGGAACAAAAACCTACCTGCAAAGCCTCGCTCATGCCACGACCGATCACCAGAGTTTCAACACCCTTCTTGACAACTTCTTCAAGGTCAGCTGGTTGCACTCCTGGAGAATGCTGGTGTGAGGGGAGGAAAAGAACAGGCTCTGAACTGACACCAACCACCTGGAAAGCTTCCTCTATGTGTTTTGAAACTGTCCGTAGATAGAATCATAGAAATGTCCAGGTTGGAAGGGACCTTTAAGATCATCTAGTCCAACCATCAACCTAACTCTGATAAAAACCACCACTAAACCATGGCACTGAGCACCAAATCAACCCGTTTTTTGAATACTCCAGGGATGGTGCCTCAACCACCTCCCTGGGCAGCCCATTCCAAGGCTCAATAACCCCTTCAGTGTACAATTTTTTCCTAGATTAGAGGGTAAATTAGCAGTACCAAAATGTAACACCACCCTCTTTTCTGTGCACACAGAGTAGATAACGTTGGCAACTAAAAAAGTTATTTTATATGCAGATGAAAAATAACAGTTAATCAGTTGAAGGCAATATTATCATTCTTTATTCAGTCAAAAAAAACAGCATTACACATTTCTAAAACATTTACGTCTAACAACTAGCATTTTATAAGTATTAAAAGTTGAAGTGATATAAATAAATTGCAATGTATTGCCATTTATTTTCAAACGAACACAATCTTTCTGTAATAAAGATTGTGGCAAGCCAAAGTTTACTCACTTTAATTACAAAAGAGCGTCTCAAATAATTAAAATGATTAAATTCTTTTCTTGTTTACTTTGCAAATCTCATTTACCAAAGAGGCAGGAAACATACCGGGTAGCAGTATTGCGGTTAAGAGTTTCAATTGCTGCACTATTCTTAATTTTGAGAAAAGAATATTTGAAATCAAACTCCTCCAAGAAAAAAAGAAGAGCTTTAACAGCATGTTGATTGAGTTTTTTAAAAAATACACCCAGTTACTACTAGTATGCTTTATACATGTGAATCCACAAATACACCTGTAATGTTACTATAAAACATTAATTTTCCTCCCAGATTCAATTTCTACATATTGGCCATACAGAGGGCCAAGACTAAGACACTGCACAACCCGTGGCTAGAATTCAGCCCCTCATTGGTGTGATGTCTTTTAAATCTTAAATACTATACCCCTCCTCTTTTTTTTTTTTCTTCTTTTTAATTTTTTTTTTTAATTTCTTTGGTAGGATTCTTAAGGTTTTTTTAGAGGACTGAAATGAGTTTTTCACTTGAAGTAGGCAACACCTTGATGGACTCCTGGAGAATGTTATTTTTATGGAGATGCCTACACATCTTTATCCCCCATACTTCCAGAAAATACTACATTCTTCCAATGAATTAAGGTCAAAGCTCCAATTTAACAATTCAGCTTTATGGTTCTCCCAGTTGTGTTCCCCTTAGTCCCTTTACATTTGATATCCACACCCAGGACACAGAATTCACTCAATATGCAGGGCTTTCTCAGAACAAATCTCTGCAAATACACATTTATGACAACAGATAATGCTTTTCCTTCAGGGGTTTTAAAGTAGACTCAAAACTTAAACAAAAAGAACCGGTATGGTTTACTGCAATTAGAATAATTAGATTGCTGGGGAAGGCGTGCTGTTATATAAGCACTCCTGAGATATTAAAACCACGGAACAAAAGGATTTTCTTCGGTTACACAAGACACACTGATTCAGGGGCTTCCACATGTTTTGTAGGAAACTAGTGTCATTAAAGGAAACGTAACATGATGGAATAACTGTATCATCGCTGATTTGAGAGCTGGAGGGAAAGAGGAAAGAGGAGGGAAAGAGGCAGCAGATTTTTTTTTGCCTGTTCCTTTCTCTGGTCTTCCTTTAGAACTCCTCTTTCTTTTTTCCCCATTAGCAGATGGCACTGAAACGCAGGCAGCCAGGGAGGCTGCTCCTCATCCCCAAGGGTTAAGGCCCTAAGAACTATTAGTGCTCAGTTACAGAACCTTGCAGAGCCAGTTATGCAATTTTCCCCAGGAAAGAATTACATACTGGAGAGCAGTCTGATAGCAAAGCAGCAAAGGAAGCCATTTATTTCCAACCAGAGTGTGGGGCATGACCAGCACTGCTTGTTTCCCAAACTTCAGCTCCACCTACCCCCAGGAAAAACACGCTCCAAGAAAGCAGGCAGACTGTAGTCTGCTGTAGTGAAACGTGCAGAAAATGCATCTGGGGAACTCTTTTTATAGTTCTTCTGGAGCTGGAGATGCAGTCTAGAAAAGCTTCCCATATTTGTTGCTTGCTGTTCAATTTTAACTCAAATCACCTAACTCTTCATTGCTGCAAGAGGAAGAGAACTGACCTAAAGCAGGAGCTTTACAAGTGACCTCTACAAAGCAAAACCTAAATAGGTATTTTTTACTTCCTGATTATATGCAAAGAATGTCAGAAAACCTAACTCTCCAAATAACCCAACTATTTTTTCCTTCCTCCAACTTTAATTTAATATAGTCTCATATTTTTTTTTCCTGTTTCAGTTGGAGGACTCCTTCAAAGATTTGTAGGGACTTAAAACTTTTACCCGTCACCTGAAGATATCCCTTTTTAGAAACTTTAAAAGGAAAGCACAGCCTCCTAAATGCTAGTAGGTGGTTACAATTTGAAACTCAAGTTTTCAAGTGATTGGAAACAATATCAAAGTGTGATTGAGCTGCGAACTAGTTGTTAACTTTTCTACTATATCTGTTCAGCTTCTCCGGTCATATGGGCATATAAACCAGGAAAACAATATTGTCAAGCAGACGAAGAGGGACTCTCACAACACAACCCACCCCTCTAAACAGCCAGTGAAAACTTAATTTTTTATACTCAGATCATAAATTAAATACGTTGAAAAAAGTTATACACACAGCTATCTTTCTCTCTGCAAGATAAGAGACTATAGATGAGAAACCAGCGCGTATGACACTGGATCTGCATGTTTTCCCTCTGAAATAAGTATAAGGGACCCTAAGGAAAAGGCTATAAACTAAACCACATGCATTGTTGTCTTCCAAGCACATAAGGTCAGTTACTGTCGATTTAACTTCCCCTAAATTTTCTTCCATCTCACTCAAGGCAACTTTTGTTGACACAGTCTGAAAGAAGGTTGTTACCAGCATCTAATGACAATTGCATTCTTTAATCAAATGCAGAACGGTGTTTGAGTGCACTAAGGTGTATGAGAGTGGTCTGGTCAGGTAGCTGTGAGGACTGATACACCCTGTCACCCGTAGGACCTTATGTGTCTCCAGTTGGTAAAAAATTCAGTAAAAAACTGAGTTTTTACCAGGAAAAGTCTAATGGTTCTGTCGTGGTTTTGGCTGGATTGGCCAGAGTGACAGATGGCCACTCCTTCCCCCCTCTTCAAAGAGAGGAGAGGAAGAGATAAAGAGATTTATGAGTCTAGAAAACAACTAAACTACATTAATGAAAATATTAATAAATAATGAAAAAATAAATAATATTAAAAAATTAAGAAAAAAAGGAAAAAAGTATACAGTATATACAGAACCATATCAAGCTCCCAGGATGATGATCATGTCACCAGCAGGCACTGGGAAAAGTCCCAGACTGGACTCTGCGACAGACTGGAGCTGGATTGTGGATCTGGAGTCAGGAACACAAGTATCGGGATCAAAGGCAGACGAACAGACAGGGTTCTCCTCAGACATTGGCCATTGAAGGAAGAGATTTGACCCTTTGATCCCTCAGCTTTTATAGCAAATGTGATGCAGATGGGATGGAATACCCTGTTGGTCAGTTTGGGGTCACCTGTCCTGTCCGCTCCTCCCTACAGCTGTGACTCCTCTACACTTTTCCACTTCCAACCCTCCAACGGGGCAAATAACAAAGTTACCTGACCTTGGTTTTTATAGCAATAAGTACAAGCACAAGTCATAGAATCGTCTAGGTTAGAAGGGACCTTTCAGATCAGCTAGTCCAACCATCAACCTAACTCTGACCAAAAAAAAAACCCCAAACAAACAAAACCCAAAAGAAAACCATACAAAAGAACCCCCCACATTATTAAACCCTGTCTCTAAGCACTGTGTGAACCCATCTTTTGAAAACCTCCAGGGATGGTGCCTCAATCACTTCCCTGGGCAGCCCATTCCAAGGCTTAATAACCCTTGCAGTGTAAATATTTTTCCCAATATCCAATCTGAACCTCCCCTGGTGCAACTTGAGGCCATCTCCTCTTGTCCCATCACCTGGGACTGGGAAGAAGAGACCAGCTCCTGCCTCTCTACATTCTCCTTTCAGGTAGTTGTAGAAAGTGAGAAGGTCTCCCCTCAGCCTCCTTTTCTTTAGGCTAAACAATCCCTCAGTCTTTCCTCATAAGGTTTATTCTCCAGACCCCTCACCGGCTTCGTTGCCCTTCTCTGGACCCGCTCCAACCCCTCAATGTCTTTTTTGTACGGTGTTTTGTGTGGTATGCAGAGCCTCTCTTCATACCATTCCTTGGTATAATCGGGTCTTACCACCGTTAGAGGGAACAGGTTCTGAACAATATGTTTGTAATTTAAGAGTTTAGTTAGTTAGAAGAGGCCCAGCTAAAAAGTAAAATTACCGAACGGAAAAATCAGTTCTTTTTCACCTCAAACCCAGGACAGGTTTGCTGAAACCAAAAAGCAGCTCACCGAATTTCTCACTGGAACTTTAACAACTGTTTTTGGGACTGCTCCCAGAGTCCCATTCGAAATACAAGGTGAATAGTAAAAGGTGAACTTACATTAGTCCCAGTTTCTCTCCAATCCCAGGTTCGGCTTCCTCCCGGCCACACTTTGCAATCCTTATACGTTGTCGAGCAACCTTTCACCTTCATCTGACCCCAAGAAAGGGAAGCAATTTCAGGAGAAGCCATCACAAAGTCGAAGCAAAGTCTGGGGAAAAAGATATTTAATACATAACATCAGGCCGACACGTGCACTGCGTTAATAAAAGCAGAAATTTCTCTCCTTGCCCCAAGGAACTAGGAAGGAAACACCATTACAGACTTTTGTGACAACAGAATTGAAGTGAGGATGAGCAGATTTGTTGAATTACCAGCCCTCTTGGGGATTTGGTGCAGGATTTTGTGCAAATCATTTCACACGCTAAATCTGTACAAGTAGTGGGTGCTCAACTTTTAAAACTATCAACGTGGATCAGGTCCCAGAATATCCTCTCACATCTGGGTTTTTAATCTTCTCCCTAAAATGTACAATGAAGATGATAATAATTTCCTAAAATATCAGAGATATGCTGGGTTTTTTTGGCTGCTTTATTATTTTAAAATGGTAAATGAGGTTTAAAAAAAAAAAAAATCCCAAACAAGCCAACCCAATAGAAAAGCCACGGACAAAACAATGGAAACAATATTGCCATATTACTCTAAGAATTAAGACTTTCAAAGACCTAAAGGGGTCAAGCCTTCTTTCCCTACTCACTCCTTCCAGAGGCCAGGTGTCCCTCTGTAACATCTCAGGACAGCTAAACACCCAAATAATGTCTTTTCTAAAGTTTAACCTCAATCTTCATTGTTTCAACTTAAAATCATTATTTCTAATCCTTTCTACTGCAGACAAGAACAGCTTAATCTTAGTCTTTTCCACCACCTTCTGTTTTCTTCAGGACTTGACTCAATACTTTTTCCTTTCTTTTAGATTAAATAAACTTCCCTTCAGTCACGTTTGCTAAATCTCTGCTTATTTTCCCCCTTTTCCCTGGCAGCCAACGATCTGTATGCGTTTTTCTTTGATGGCTGTTGCCTAAAACTAGACAGAGAGCTCCAGCTGAGGCCTTATCAGTCATTTTTTTGGTATTAACCCCACTAATTTTTAAATCTGCTGTCACAATCACAGCCGGGCATCAGTAGGGCAGGGACTCTGACTCCGAAATGCTACCAGGAAAGCTTATGCTGTCTGCACAGTCCTTCATGTTATTGCAGTCTGATTGCTGGTGGGATTCTGACAGCAGATGACAAGAGAGGTGATACCCTGCAAACACGTTGGACCAGCAAAGCACTCAACCGATGCCTCTCAGGAGCAGAGTCACTTTTCTGCCCTTCCAATTCCGACAGAAAACTGTCTGAAATCCACAATATGAAGAAAACTGGTTGTTTCTGCGGTAAAAAGAGCTCAGCTCCTGGCTGATCCAGAAAATCTCAGTGGCAGATCCTTCCAGATATGAAGGTTCTCATTCTTTACTTTTTAATTGTTCAAATTCACCAGGAAAAAAAAAATAAAATCAATCCTAGGAACCCTGGCATGAATTAAAGCAAGCATGCTCACAAAAGAGAAATTGAATTTGAATTTAGTGACACAAGTGCCCAGGCAAACAGCTACGGGGGAGTGAAACTTGCTTGGATTTGTGTATCCTAGATTCTCTCCTTACACATTCACAACACGATGGATTCAAACAAATGTCTGTAAGACTATTTTTCCAAAAATCTGCAGGAGAAATACCCAGCAGTAGTCCCATCAACCAAACAGTAAAGGCTGAACAAACCACCCAGAACCTGGCTCTGAAGAATGCAAAGAATTTTTGCCTGTGCCAGTTTTGAGAGGAAACAGCAGAATTAGACCTGGAGGTTAGACAGAGGTGAAGGAACAATAAAATGATTAGGAATATTGGATTTCCCAATCCAACCAGCTTTACAAGGCTGGAACTGTGCGATTAGGCCCCCACAAATAAAGTAAATAGCAGCAACAAAGAAACAAAACTTAAAAGCCATAAATAAAAACTTGTAATCTGAAACTATTTCCCATAATATTGCCAGAGAATATCAGTAAGGTCAGGTTATTGGAATTAATGAGATCATCTTAAATTGGAGTAAGAATGAACTTTTCAACAGGAACTTTGGATGTTCTTGGTGCAGGGTATGGTCCAATCAGCAAGGAGTAGGAAAATATTTCCCCAACAAATGAATTGTATTTTTAATTATTCCCTATGACACCAAAATATACATCACCCCTTAAGAGCAAAAGAGATCATGAACTGTACAACTCAAAAGTATATCCTAAAATAGCAATTTCTGTACATTGCAGTAGTCCAAACATAAAGAGATGAGGTGGAGAAATGACTCGGAAATCTATGAGCAAAGTTATGAAGGTTTAAAAACATAGGAAAGAAAGGAAGCAGAAGAGCTTAAAAGGAGGCAAAATACAAGTTTACACAAGGAGACTATACTGAAAGAAAGAAATGAAGCAGTGGATAAGGATGGCAGAAGAAGAAAAAATAGCTGAGAATGAAATGGAAGAAACTTGAGACTGAAGTGCTCTCTGTCGAGCAGGTGGATTTTAAAACTGCCAGTGCTACTGTTTTCTGTTTCAGAGAGGCACCCACCAGCAACAAACATAAAAAAAAAGGCGAAGGGAGAGCAGTGCACCAGGGAATATTTTATTGAGAGACTGTAGAAGCAAAGAACGTTTCATAAAATCCAAGGCTCAACCTGAGATCAAAGAGGAAAAAGGTGAAAGAGTAAATTGGCGACTGTCAACTTGGAGGCAGAACAACTTCTGTAAGGTATCAAAAGACGAGGTAATTCTCCACGAAGGCGGGTGAGACGACACAACTTCGGAAGTGAACTTTCAGCAGCCAGAAAAGCAGGTCAGGGTTTAAAAGCTGCCAGCAGGATGGCAAGTAGAAAGGTTAAAATGAACCGGGCAGGGAGGGGACAGGTGTCAAGTTTTAAGAGCTAGGAAAACATTTTTTGGGGGAAGCTGGTTATCTGATTTTATTAGGGAGCTGAGGAAGGGAAGTTATTGGGGGAGGTC